GCCTGCCGGGATTTCAGCAGCTGCTCCCGGCCGCGCTGGGGACAGCTGCCCACACCCCGCTGCCTTTGCCTTTGCACCGAGCCTGGCTTTGGTGCCTGCAGGAAAGCGTCCCCTTTTCCACAGCCAACGATTTACACCAGGACGGGGATTTAACTGTGCAGTTTTCCCACATCTGCCATGTTGCTTCAGCGTACGGCTCGATTTCACACCCCCAGTCTCCCTGTGCGGACTCGAGCACAGGTCACTGTCCCCAGGGCCAGCATCTCTTGCCACCAGTCCCTTCTGCATCCCTGGAGCGCTACAGCCGCCTGTCTCGGGCTGAAAGGGGAGCAGAGGCGGGCACAGAGAGCGCCGTGTCCCTGCTTTTGGGGTGGGTTTGGCGGAGGAGCTTCCAGGCGAGCGTGGAGCAGCGAGGGGAAGGAGTGTGGGGCGGTGGGAGGGACCGTGGGCTCCGCGCCCCAAAGAAAGGGCTCATTGAAGCAGGGACGGGCATTTGCGGTTCCCAGCGTGGCCGGGGGCCGCCGGCACGCACAGCAGCCGGCATTGTGCCACTGGCGCCGGGCAAACGGGGCCGGGCAGTGCTCTCACCCATCTTGGTGGTCTGCTCTGCAGTTCCCCCCTCGCTGCCCAGCACTTCGGCGCGTTCACCTTTGCTGCAGGTGGTGCTGCAAACCCCACGCCAGCCGTGTCTGTGGTTTCCAGCAGATTGGTTTCATGGTTGAAGGTGTTTCAGCCGGGTCCTGGTCCAGGTCCAACTGCAGAGGCTGGTCCCTGCCTGGCAGATGCTCGTGTTTTACCCCCACGCCCAGCACTGATGTCTCTGAGTCCCATCAGGTTCTCCAGGGGCAGGAGCAGCAGCTCTGCTCTCTGCTGGGTCAGGAGAAAACACCTCTGTTTGGACACCACCAAGGTGAGGGGGAGAAATGACCAGTGTGTCCTGGCCATCAGGCCTCTGCTGGTCCTGTCACAACATTACTGTGCCCTCACCAGCCTCTACACCCCTTCTGCTCATGGTTTTTGGGACACGAGGAACAAGGACAGCTCATCCGGGTCACCACAAAGAGAAGGTGGGACAGTAAAGAGCGGACAGGAGACAAAGACAACCTCATGCACCTGGAGTCTGAGAGCTTCTGCAATGAAAACAAAGTTGTTTCAGTGGGGCCTGCTTGTACCGACACCCTCCTCTGCTGCTGCTCCTGAGTGTAACCTCTGAGTCAGAAGGACTTTCCATTCCCAACTTTCTCCTCCAATGGGCACTTTCCAGGCTTCAATTTGATGAGGCTTGTGACTATTCTCAGCAACTTTGTAAACATCCTAGGAGGTGGCTTTTTTCCCTCTCTTTTTTTAGCTTGACTGGACATGTTTTTAACCAAAAAATACCTGCCTGGACAGGCTCCTTAGCAGCGCCGCGGGGCAAACCGAAGCAGTGCTGTGCTCGTGCCATGCCTTGGAGGACAGCCAGGACCAGGATGAAAATTGCTGGGAGATGAAAGCAAAGTGGGAAGCTCTGGTGGCACGTTTCCCAAAGCCAGCCTCGGGAGGAAGTTGGGAGCGGAAATAGTTGAAAGAGTAAATATAGAGGGGTTTTTTTTCCCAGGTTGCAGACAAAGAGCAGCAGGGAGAGCAGATAAGCCCGTGCTCCTTATCTCTTTGTTGTTCTGCCCCTGTGTTTTGCTGGTCCGAGTGTCTGCTGGAAGTCTGATGAAGCAAAGGACCGTGGAGGGAATGGAGGGAATTTTTCAGAGCTGCAGCAGCAGCAGCAGCAGCACTGAGGGCAGCAAGCTCACGGAGGGATGCATGGGAGTGGATGGGGGCTGGATGGACAGAAGGATCTCAGGCAGGGAGGGAACGTGGGCTCTTCATCGCCTTTCTGTGTCCAGAGCTCAGCTGTTGCCCGTTGAGTCACCCGAGGAAAATGTGACTTCATCCAGTCTCACCTCCATCTGGCATCTTTCTTTCCTGGATCTCACCTGGTGGGGATTCGGGGCAGCCAGAGTTGGGGAATGAGTGCCCCAAGGCTTTGTGTAAGACCTTCCCTTTCCCAAAACTGAGCTGAAAACCCTTGCTCTGCTCTTCCAGTCAGGCAGTCCTGTGGAATGCCCTGCAGAAGGGTGACAGGAGCATCCATCCCTTCCCTCCTTCCTCTCTGCTGTCTTCACCCCACCTGCACCACCGGTGGGAGCATCCATCCCATGAACCAACCTGCTCCAGCAGACTGGAATGATTTGGTGTCTCCATTACTGACCAAGTCCTTCCTTCTTGCTGTGGCAAGGTTAACTTGCTCGTACTGGCAGATCCCACCTGGGCAGATTTGCATGGGAACAAAATCCCCAACGCCACCAAAAAAAAGCTCCTTTTCTGGCTTTAACTCCTCTGGGAAATCCATAAATCCTCTTATCATCTCCGCAATGGGAATTGCAGCCGTCCCTGCTGAATTGAAAAGCACTTCCAGCCTGAGGGATAGGAAAAGGCAGGGAGCAGCATCTGAGCCGTGGGTGCTGCCATCTGGGGCATCTCAGTTTAGCATTCCTGGAAATTATTCCGCTTTGCTTCGGGACGTGGAGAGCAAGAGGACGCTGCCTGCCGTCTCCAGGGATGATGCCCATCCATCTGTCTGCTCACACAGGTGCATTCCCCAGGAGCGGGCGCTGGCAGAGCACCCTGGGGCGGCGGCAGCAGCATCCCGGTGCTCTCCTCATCCATCCCATCCTCGTCCATCCGCGCCCTGCAGGGGAACGTGCGGGGGACACAGAGCCCCTCTGTTCCCACTCACAAAGGGGCGCTTGTGGCTTTGCACAGTGCCCCAGCCGGGCTGCTCCTCACGGGCCCCAGCGAGGAAGGGATTTAGGATGCCAAGCAGCCCCAGGCAGCCTCACCAGGTCACCCGCGTGTCCCCAGCCCTGCCGGGGCCCCCGCGCCCGTCGCTGCCGCCCCGCGGGTCCCAGGCAGGACGTTTGCAGCCGGCTGTTTATTTAAGGAATTATGTCTGGGCCTGTGAGCGAGGGTTTTGCCAGCGCTGCCGGACATGGTTCTCTGTGTCATCCCCGTGAATAATTCCTGGTCTGTGGCTCATTTGTGGTCAGGCAGCTGGGGGCATTAGATGGGGAAAGCCGCGGGCTGGCTTTGCCCAGGGATTTGTCTGAGGAAGCGGTGGATGCCATCCCCGGGGCGTGCGTGCTGCGGGCAGCGAGGGGACCGTCCCCAGCCCGGGACTGTCCCCGGCCCCAGGCGAGGGCAGGGATGCAGATCACCTCCCCTTGGGCTGCCGGGACTCCGCCGGGCGCTGAGAGACGCGGCCGCACAGCGAGGACTGTGTGTATTTGATTTTTTTTTTTTCTCTCGGTTGCTCAAATACTCCGACAAGTCCTGTCATCGAGGGGGCACGACCGAGGAGGGGGGATATGGGGGTGGCTGGCGAAAGGCACCTGCCCCGGCTGCTGGCCTGTCCCCGAGGAGTGGCGCGATGACAAACTAAACTAACAGGGCTGTTATACACACAGACACACACACACACACGTGTGCCGGGGATCTTGAAAGGAGGGAGCTGGGGACCACTGTGGGAGGGCTCTGGAGCTGCCAGGGCTCTCCAGAGTCCCTGCATCCCACTAAATCCTAAGTTTCCTGGGTGCGTGGGTGTGGATGTCTCTTTTTAGAAGGTCTTGCTGGAAAGGAGATGGCTGGAAGCCAAGCCTCGGGAGCTGAGTGGTTTGCTCAAGCTGGGAAATTCCTGGTCCTCACACAGAGAGGACTGGGAACCCGACAGGCTGGGGCGCTGCCCTGGCCACGGGGCACATCCCACCCCTCCTGCCCATGTTCCCTCCTTCCCGGCCGGAGGGGCATTCAGGGAGCAACACTAAAAAATGCACATTTTGGCCGAGAACGACGCGGAAGAGGTTGGGACGTGACGCAATGCCTGGCAGGGCTTCCCCGCTTCACGCTCTGCAAATACCGAGGCTTGGCCAGGGCATCTCCCCTCCAGCAAACCCCGGGGCCCCCCTCAAAGGATGGGGCTCTGCCTGGCTCTCCTCCTTCGCCCCAAAAGCAGGGGTGGGACGGGCTGCCAGGGTCGCGCTGGCGGAGCCAAGCCAAGCCTAAATAGACTTTCCCTGAGTCACCGAAAGTCTGGCCAAGAAAGCGGGAGGAGCGAGCAGCGTCACCCACCCGAGCCGGCGGGCAGGTGGCAGGTGCCAGCAAGGCCCAGGGGTGTAAATCTGCACACTGGGGACCAAAACAGCAGCTGTGGGTCCCCAAAATCTCCATCTGGGGTGGGGGTTTGGTGCGGCCAAGAGCGGTTTCCAGCAGCACCCCGATTCAGGGGCTGGAGGAAAGACGAGGGGGGTGGGTATTTTCTGCAAGTCGCCTGGTTTTGCATCCCACACCAAGCAGCTACACCATCGTTTGGGGTTTTTTTTCTCTTTTCTGGCAAAACCCTCCCCCAGAGCATTCTACTTCCCGAGGGGGACTGGCGGCAGCAGCGTTTTCCGGCCCGCTGTAGTTCATGAAAACTCTCTGGGTTTCATTTTCGAGGCTCAGCAGCTGCTGCTGCCATGCCGGGGGAAGGCGGAAACTGCTCAGCCCCACAGTGGGGCCCTACAGCGGAGCCTCCAACCCTCCCCTTTCCAGAGGCTGGGAGCCACAAAGCGCCAAAAATCCGAATGATACCGTGGCTCCCTGGCTGGCAGCAGCAGGTTTTTGCCAGTGGGAAGCAGGCAGCTGTCGGGTGGCAGGGATTGGGTTTTAGGAGGGGCAGGGGCAGCTGGTGGAAGCGTGGGAAGGGGTCGTGCCAGGCAGATATATTTTAGGAAGGAGGAGGAGCAGCCGACGGGGCATTCAGGCAGCTGCTCTTCGGGGGTGGGATGGAGCAGTAGGGAGGAGCTCCCCCTTTTTTACTGCTCCTGTCCAGCCTTTGTCGGGCTCTGACCCTGCCCGCAGGGAGGCATCGCCATGCTGAGCCTTCTTCTCCCCACAGGCGGGGCTGGCGAGGCCCTAGCCCAAGGCACCTTCCCAGCGTGCAGGAGGGGCCTGGGTGTGTTCCCCATGGAGCTCCGACGCGCTTTACCCCAGGATATCCGGGAGCTGCTGCACTGCTTGAAGATGAGGAGCAAGTACGCCGTCCTGCTGGTCTTCGTCATCAGCCTCGTCATCATCGAGAAGGAGAACAACTTCATCTCCAGGTAGGCAGCGAGTACCCCAGCCACCCCCCGTGGTTTGCAGCCCCTCTCCCCCAATCCCGAGCTCCCGGGAGCAGCAGGAGCCCCCAGGGGGGGATGCAGGGTGGTCCCGCTGTCCTCCAGGCTGGGCTGGGTCTCCCCCACAGGGTGTCGGACAAGCTGAAGCAGTCCCCGCAGGCGCTGGCGGACGCCAACAGCACGGAGGTCAGCCCAGCACCGGACAAGAACGGCTCACTGGCCTCGCTGCAGGAGCTGGACGCTGCCTTCTCCCAGCTGAGGTCCCACCTGTACAACATCACCCTGCAGCTGGCAGGCGACGGGGACCCCGGGCCGCGGCGGCACGTCCTGCTGATGGCCACCACCCGCACCGGCTCCTCCTTCGTCGGCGAATTCTTCAACCAGCAGGGCAGCATCTTCTACCTCTTTGAGCCCCTGTGGCACGTCGAGAAGACGGTGACCTTCCTGCCGGGGGGAGCCAGCGCCGTGGGCTCAGCCTTGGTTTACCGAGACGTCCTCAAGCAGCTCCTCCTCTGCGACCTCTACATCTTAGAGAACTTCATCTCACCGGTGCCCGAGGGCCACCTGACGCCCTTCTTGTTCCGGCGGGGCTCCAGCCACTCGCTGTGCGAGGAGCCCGTCTGCACGCCCAGCACCAAGAAGGTTTTTGAGAAGTACTACTGCAAGAACCGCCGCTGCGGCCCCCTCAACATCACTCTGGCGGCCGAGGCGTGCCGGCGCAAGCAGCACGTGGCCCTGAAGACGGTGCGCATCCGGCAGCTGGAATTCCTGCAGCCGCTGGTGGAGGACCCCCGGCTGGACCTGCGCATCATCCAGCTGGTGCGGGACCCCCGCGCCGTGCTGGCCTCTCGCATGGTGGCCTTCTCCGGCAAGTACGAGACCTGGAAGAAGTGGGCGTCCGAAGGGGAGGCTCCCCTGCGCGAAGAGGAGGTGCAGCGGCTGCGGGGCAACTGCGAGAGCATCCGAGTGTCGGCGGAGCTGGGGCTGCGGCGGCCGGGCTGGCTGCGGGGCCGGTACATGCTGGTGCGCTACGAGGACGTGGCGCGGGCGCCGCTGCAGAAGGCTCGGGAGATGTTCCGCTTCGCCGGGCTGCCCCTCACGCCGCAGGTGGAGGAGTGGATCGGCAAGAACACGCAGGCTCCCCGCGACGGCAACGGCGTCTACTCCACGTGCAAGAACTCCTCGGAGCAGTTCGACAAGTGGCGCTTCGGCATGCCCTTCAAGCTGGCGCAGGTGGTGCAGGACGCCTGCGCGCCGGCCATGCAGCTCTTTGGCTACAAGCTGGCCAGCAGCCCCGCCCAGCTCGCCAACCGCTCCTTCAGCCTGCTGGAGGAGGCACAGCCCGCCTGGGTCACGTAATGGTGCGGGCCGGAACGAGGGGCTGCGGCCGCGCTCCCGGCCGGTCCGGAGATGACCTGGGGGGTCCCTGCTCCCGAAAATGCTCCTCGCTGCTGCCAGGTGGCAGCCCCAGGAGCTGGAGACATGCTGGCAGAGCTGGCCCCAGGGTCCTGCAGAGCCTGAATTGCACAGTTTCTCTGGGAATGGGGAAGTGGTGAAGGTGAGGGGCGGCGGGGTCGGCAACAGAGCCGCCTCCCCAGCTCGGGAGCTGCACTGAGGAAGAGGAGGGTGGTGGCAAGCAGAGAGGGACGGGACCAAGCACCTCTGCCTTGCCACCCCCCACGCCAGCTGGGACGGGGCAAGGACAAAATCCCTGTGGTGCCAGCAAGCACCCAGACCCCAGAGACCTTCTTGGTTTAGTGCCTTCTTCATACACCAGCACAGACTGGAAAATGCCCACAGAGCCCTGGACGGCACTTGGGCTGCAACAAAATGAGGTGACTATGGTTTGGTGTTCTTCAAACTCGGCTTTGGACGTTTGGGTTTATTTCCTTTTTTTTTTTTTTTTTTTTTTCCCCTGCGTATTTGCATACCGGGTGAATTTATTTATTTATTATGTGCAAAGGAGGGGGAGGCTGGTCAAGGAGAGAAGCCCAAAAATCAGAGCAGCACAACGTACTCCAAAGGGAGACACCCAGAAGAGAGGTCACGTTTTAGCTGGAGACCACCACGTGTCCTTCTGTATGATCTTGGGAGAGCCCCCAGGGCTGTAACCCACCCCCCCCCCCCCCCCCCCAGCCCCCCCCCAGCCCCCGTGGGGCAGCGACTGTGAAATTCAAAATTCGGCGGTGCTGAAAGACTGTCAGACTTACCCGATTAAAAGCAAAACCACCAGCACAGAGTCCAAAGCATCTCCTGTCTCCTTAGTATTGGTGGGTGTGCCTTGCCCAGGGGGGAGCCCAGAAATCTGTGCTAACAGCACTGGTGGGTGGCCAAACCTGGAAGAAGCCCAGGGAGTCTCAGGGAGTTTGCCATGTGCAGATGTTGACCCAGTGCCGAGCTGGCCCCTCCAATTCACATTTCATTAATTAAAATGCCTATTTTTAGCCCCCCTCTTCGTAGCTCATTCTTCTTCTCCCCCAGGCATTTTGGCTTATGGCAGCCACCTGAGGGAGAAGCCAAGCATTTCGGTGGCGAGTGGTTGTCTCCACTGAGGGGTCCCAGCAGCCACATGTCCCCTTCTCCCCAACTAGAGCTGCTGGCCAAAAGCAAAAATAAATAAATGAGACGAGGCGGCAGCCGGCCACAGCTGGGCTGCGCTCTGCCGGCCGTGAGGAACGCGCTGGGGCTCCGGCGAAGGGCTGCGGCTGGGCTGAGCTCACAAAAGCTGCGTTTTCGACCCAAGAGGGAGAACAGAGGCGGCATTGAGGAGCTCGGGGCCGGCCGGCGGGGAGCAGCCACACCGGAGCCCCGGGCAGCCATCGGCGGAGCTTTTCCGAGCAGCGCCGGGCGGCATCTGCCTTCAAGGTGTGATTTCGGGGTGCTCGGTGCCAGCCGGATGGGGAAAGGGAGCAAAAGTGGGGTTTTTTGGCACAGCCTCATCGCTCACAGGCGATGGAGAGCGTCAGCCTCCTCCCCGCCTCACACGCAGCTCTCGGCATCACAAGCAGCCCTGGGGCTGCTGAGTGAATCGGGTTTTGTTTGGAGGCTTCCTGCTGGAAAAGCAGCAGGGTCACCGAGGTCAGATGGATATTCCGCAGCTGCGCGCTGGGAAAAGCCCAGAGAACTCGGCCAGCACGAGGGGGAACACAGTGGGACGCAGGTTCCTGGTAAATGCCCCTGGAAAAGCACGATTATTAGGTTGGCTTTTACGGAGAAAATAATTTTAGGGTAATTGTGAAACAGCATGAGGGGGGAGTAGCTATTGAGCTGCCACAGCAGAGGAGGGGACATTGGAGAGCGCCCAGCATCCCTCTGCCATCCCAGCGTGGCGGCTTGGAAAGCCGGGTTCAGGGGGCAGGGACAGGCAAATCCAAGGCGGGCAAGCGGTTTCAAAGTGGAAAACAAGCGGCGAGGGAAGCGGGAGCTGAGCTGAGCCGAGGCCAGAGGCAGAGACTGAGCGATAGCTGCGCGTTCTCACCTGCGCTGCCTCCGCCCCGGCTGGCTCCAGCCCGGCACTGCTAGCCAAGCATGAGCAATTGTTCCTGGACACCCTCCAGCTTCCCGTCAGAAACGTCACAGGACAGAGAGAAAACATGCCCCCGACTCGTGCAGATTTCCCCGGGGCTAATTGCTCCCATTAAACCCACGGGCTCCAGGCGCATCGGGAAGCCACAGGGGACACGGCTCCTTTCGAGGCTGGAGCAGCTGAATTCCCCCTGAGCTGGATGCAGGGAGGTTTGTCCCCCCACAAGAGGGGCCTCCTGCTCACCCTGCTCTGGCTGCTGCCAGGCCTTGCCCCGATTTGGGAGGAAAAGCGTGGATTGGGAAAGTCAGAGCAAGAGGCAGTGCCTTAGAGCAAGGACATACCTGCATCCAGATGGACCAAGCAGGAAGTCCCCGACAGGAGCTGCAATGGATGCAGCCTCACCCTTTCTCAGAGACATCAGTGCCAAAAAATAAAAATAACAATTAATCCTCTTTTCAAAAGATCTAAGCTTTCCGAAATAAAGCACTTCTAAAGCTTGGTTTGAAATAAGGATATAAAAGAACCCCAGCCTGCAGCTGTACTGCCTCCAGGCTCACTTCCCAGCCTGCTGCAGCTGTTTTTTGGGGGGGAATTCGGGAACATTGTGGTGATGTTGATTGTCACCAGAGAGACCTTTTCCACAAGCGGCCCAGAGCAATGAGGGGACGTGTGTCCCGTGGGACAGGGCCACCAGCCAAAGCTGCTTCTCCTTGGGGTCACTGCAGGTAACACAGGATGATGTAGCACCAGTGAGAGCTCTCACAAGTGATGGATGTGCTGTTCCCCTCTAAACGGGATCTTTCTGGGAAACGATTCCCTCCTGCCAGTCTAATCCAGAGTTGACTTTGGACAGCAGGTACATCCTGCTGTTCCTCTGCCTTCCTCTCAGAGCACTCAGGGCTGCCTGGGGCCATGCTGGCATGGCTGGGCTTGCTGTGGAGAGGCAGTTCTGATTGAGGCAGAAACTGCTGGTGCCAAGTAAGAGCGGGGGTCAGGGTGGGAAAGTGTCTGAAACGCCACCTTAGATGTCCTGCAGTTTAACACCCAGGTGGTCCTGCTGGGCCATGAAGCCAAGCCGCCAGCTTGGTCCATAGAAATCCATAAAAAAGTCCTTTTTCCAGCCTGGCATGAGGTTTCTCCCAAACAGCAGGAGTGGTGGCTGCTCTGCTGGCTGCCCTGACCCCCCATACCCTTCTCCTCGCTTGTTCCAGCTCCATTTAATGGGATAGGATGAGCTAATCCCCCATGTCTCCTCGCAGCCCCATCAGAAGGGATTTCTGCACAGGGGCTAGAGGGAAGGAAATCCATCATGCCAGCAATTGCCTGCCCTCACCCAGCCCCACTGGCTTCTGCTGGAGGCTGGATCAACCCTTTCCTTCTCTCCATCGTGGGGCTTGGTGTGGTTCTTGCAGGGAGCTGGTCCATGGCTACAGCTGCACCATCCAAATATCCAAACACTGGGTCAGTGGGGAGACCCATGGGCCAGCGAGGGACCCACGAGGGCTGCAGCACATGTGGACATTTCAGCATTAAATGACAACCTTGTTTTGTGTTGTGTTTTTCTAAGAGACTGCATGCCTGACCAGACTGCATTTCTTGGTCTGCATCCCATATTTATCCTGTAATTACACCTTTGGACAAAGGCTGCCTGTCTGTGAGGCCCATTTTTTTCAGAACACAGTTTTATTCTATGCTCTGCTTTCACTGTAATGAAATCTGGGGGGCAAGGGGAAGAAAACTCCCCACACCGAGAGTGAAAGCTGTTCTTTCTCAAAAGCTGCCCCAAGAGCAAAGGAGCCTGCTCAAGCCCTCTCCCTTTTCCCAAAGAAATCCCAGCCACTGACATCCTTTATGCTTCTTTACCACCCCACAAGAACTAATGCCACAAACCATGTCACCCCATAAAAGAAAGTTGCCACCACACTGTCAATCTCTGCTGCTGCTGCTGCAGGAGCCAGAGAATTTCCAAGGAGATCCCTGCAGTCCTTATAGCCAGGCAGCTGACACGGATAAAACTTTTTGTTGGCACCTGCCTGGATCACGGCACAATAAGGGATGAATTCCTACAAAATGGCATTCCTGTAAAATTCCCAATGTCTGCTATATGCTTGCCTCTGGAGGGGTAGGGAAGATGTGCATGGCACAGACCCCAAAGGCTGACACGAGCCTGGCCACCCCCATTTCCCCAAAACCTGCCTTGGGATGAGGTTTGGAGGTGGCAGGTGAGGTGAAGCCTGTCACCACAGCACGCTGAGCCTGGCAAACTCATCCTGCTGGGTGGTGCACGGGGAGGATCTGGAGAGCACCTTGGCACCAGAGCACGCTGTGAATCCCAGGAAAAAGGAGATTGTGGCATTGTGGCACAGCCCTGGGGTGGAGTGGAGGGAGATCCTAGCTCCCCACAGCTCTTCTCATGGATACAAAATCACCTTAATTGCAGAGACCATTGCATTTCACCCTTGGGGTTTTCCCACCCTTTCCTGGGTGGGATCTGTGACCACTTCATGGACTGACATGGACAGAGACGCTGCCTCTAAATAGAAGTGACTGGTCCAGACTGCCCAAAATAGGGTGATTTTGGTGCTGTCGTCCATGGGAAGCAGCTTGTCTTCTCAAGCCACTGAAAAACTGGAAATGAAAAATGAGGTTTGTCAGGGAGAGAATAAATACAAGCAGAACCTTGTTGATTTCTGCTCAAAGTAAAATTTTACGTGTAAGGTATAAAATAGCCAGTGTTGATGTTTAAAAGCAGTCAGGAACTGTCTGATTTGTTTTTTCTGGGTGATTCTTTGCCCTGAACTAACACGATTCCACCTTGGCTGAAGCAGAGCTCCCTGGGGCATATGGGGGCAACCAGCTCACCCAGGCAAAATGGGGAGCCAGGGCATTTGTCTAGAGCAATCCCTCACCCCTGGGAGACTCAAAATCCTCCTTTCCCTGAAGCAAAGCCTCCAGGGGCACAGCCAGAGAGCTGCAGCCACACTGGTGCCACTGGGGCTGTCACAGGACGATGTGCAGGACATGTCTGTGGGCAGAGGGAATGTGGTGTGTGAGGCTTTTTGGGGTTTTGCAGAGATGGCTGTGAGCCAAAAACAGAGTCCCCAGCAGCTCAGGCTTGTCAGGGAAGGATGGGGCCTTCAGCCTGGCCCAGGTGGGAAGAACTGCTCTCTAGAGGAGGGTGAAGGGAAGAATGTTATCCCTCTTCCAGCCTGTCTGGGCTATTGCAAAGTCAAGGAAGCCAAATTGCCCTGATGGTCAGGGAGGGCAGGACAAAGATGGAGAGACGTACAGGGATTTGGGCCAGTGCAAAGCAGGGGCACCTGTGGCATCTTAAAGTCACCCCATGCAGCAGGGAGGAAAAGTGCAAGGAGCCTGGAACAGGGCGGGGCAGGCCAATCTGCCAAACCTGAGCCCTCACCTGCGCATGGAATGCTCCCACTGGCCACAGCTTTGGCCATTCTGAGTTTCTCCCTGTTCACCTGGGGTTGGATGTGAGGTTTTCACAAAGGCTCCTGTTTGCTCTGGACATTTCTTTTTGTCAGTCACCTTTTTTTGCTTCTTGGTGCATCTCCAACTCACTGGCCCAGAAGATTCTTCCCCCTTTTTTTGAAAGATTGTCCTGATCTTCTGTTGTCCAACTGGGCTCACCTGAAGGTAGCCCTCATATTTTCCTGGAGGGGGAGAACACGAGGTAACAGGGGAAATTAACAGAGTACTCCTGGAGTAATGGACTGCTCCCAGCAGTGGGTATGTGCTGTAAAATACAGGCAAATGCCTGGCATGAAAAGCCCAAAACTGCCTCTGGAAAAGACAACTCATCCTCAGCATCCTCATCAACTAGGAGTGGGCCTTAGATCCAGCTTTGCTCCAGCAAGATGAAACACCAAGGAAGTTCTACAGGTAAGGACAACCTTGCCCTAACTGGGATGGCTTTGCACACAACAGATGACAAGCAAGTCTGTCCGTTTAATTTGAGGGAAGAGCTTAAACCAGACTTAAATTGCAGAGTTCATCCCTTTAGAAATGGAGGCAGGCTTGGTTTTTTACAATTTTTGCACTGAATTGTGCTTTCCCAAAGCCAGCCGTTGCCAGGCTCTTCCAGCAGCCTCCTCACAGAGGTCCCATGCCAGTACCAGGAGAAAAGACAGGGAGCAGACCTGGAGCACTGTTACCCTGGGGATATTTCCCAGCCTCTGGACATTCATAGCTCCTGGATCTCCTGGCCAGCACAGGTGTCTCTCTGTTTAGCAGCTCTGAAGGTTTGTATTGCACAGATTAATCAAAATTTGATCCTATTGAAAACTTTAGCATTTCCAGCTGAGCGCTGTGTAACAAACAACACCAACCTGTCCTGGGTGTATTTCAGCGGAACCACGTCCTTTCCCATCAAGGAGCTTCTCCATTCCAGCTTTATATTGGCTGTTCCATCTCTCCCCTCCCAGTTCTCTTCCAGGCATGGAGTGCAGGAACGTCCCCCACTCCTTTCGACCCCTTTGTGCCTCTCCTTCCCCAGTCCCCGAGCCCCTCCTGTGGCCGAGACAAGGACGCGCTGGACTCGGCCACCGTGTCCCATGTCGCTTGTCCCCACGGCCGAGCTGGCTGCACCCTCTGGTGGCAATCCCGAGTCCAGGCCCTGCTTTTCCCGGAAAATTGCTTCGTCGTCTCCCACCCACAAGTTTTTCTGGGAGAGGGTTTTGGCATGGGGCTGTGTGTCGCTGAGGAGCAGGGAGGGAGCAGGGGAAGCGTGGGGGCAGCTCTGCCAGCTCACAGCACCGCAGTGTGTGCAGCAGCTATTTTTATCCACAGGACCAGAGGCTATATTTATCCAGAATGCCACAGGAGCCCGAAAGCCTTCGGGGCAACTTCCGTGCTGCGGAAAACCGAGAGCTGGATGTCCTTTATACTGACAGCCTACTCCAGAGCCCTTTGCTACCTCCTCAGCCCTTCCTTCTTTATGTCCCATTGTCTCCATCCTGGTGATGCTGAGCTTGTGTCCCTTCCCACGGTGGTCTCCAAGGTCCCATCCTACCCAAACCATTCCCAGATTTTGTGATCTTCCCTCTTTGCACAGCCGTCTCTGGGCTCCCTTTCCTGCTCCATTCAGAGAAAATACATGTTTGCTGCGTTTAAATTGAACATCAGGAGGAGTTTCCTTTGAGAAAGGGTGATTACACATTGGAATGGACTGCTCGGAGAGGTGAGGGATTGACCATTCCTGGAGGCGTTTAAGGAAATTCTGACTGCCACGGTCTGGTTTAGTCATAGGCCGGAGGTCTTCTCCTAATTGATTTCGTAATCTTAATTTCCCTCTCCAAAGGGCTTGTTTCTTCGGGTGGAACGGGCCATCCATCCTCCGCTGCGTTATTCACCCAGATTTGTGAAGTTAAGAGCAGAGCCCTCAATTTGTAAAACCCGCGGCGAGGGGGATGTGGGCAGCGGGGCTTAGCGCAGGTGAAGCGCTCCGCGTTCGGAACACCGTGCACGCCGGGCAATAGCCATCCATTCCCTGCCCTCCAGGTCTGGGAGCCGGGCTCAGTGCCCAGGAGCCCGGCTCCGCCCGCAGCCCCGCCCGGGGAGGGCAGTGCGAGCCCCGGGCCGGCCCCCGCGCCGCACTCGCCCCGCAGCCGCCCCGCTGGCCATGGGCTCCCGCCTGTCCCTGGACGACTCCGTGCGGGTCGTGGTGGTCGGGGGTGGCTTCGGAGGGACGGCGGCCGCCAGCCTGCTCAAGTCGTGGGCCGTCCCTTTCGTGCTGGTGGATGTGAGAGATGCTTTCCATCACAACGTGGCCGCCCTCCGTGCCGCCGTGGAGAGCGGTAAGGGCTCGGGCAGATCCCCCCTGTGCCGCCGGGATGTGCGGAGGGATGCGGGGAGCGGCAGGGAACGCGCTGCTCGCACCGCCTCCTCCGCCCTGCCGTGCTGAAAGACTTGATGTTTTCCAGCTGGAAAACAAGTAATTGGCACCGGGAGGACCCACGGCTCGTCTGTGGTTGAGCTAATTGTACATCCGCTGAGAAAACGGAGCAAAAATTGCTCGGACCATCCCTTCTTATCCCCCCCCGCCCCCCCTTTTTAAAATTTTTTATTTCAACAGTTTAGAAGATGACTAAGCTAAAAGCAAAAGCAGCTGGGAGGGGTGAGTCAATCACTTTTTGTACCTGGCCCTTGAAAGGTGGAACAGCTGAACAGTGAGGCCCTGGATGATAAAACCCTGTCAGGGATCTGCTGAGGCCTGCCTGGGCCAGCCCCATTAGTCCAGTCACTGAGGAATTTAGGGATAAAATATCACATTTGAGGCTGAGAACAAGCATCAAAAGGATAGCAGAAGTTTGGTCTGAGAGGCTAAAAAGCCTCTGACACCCAGCCTAAAGGTACCAGGACCACAGAAAAAGTCTGTGATAAACCAGTACAGGAGATAGGAGGAGGAGAGGCAAAGCCATCTAGCCAAGGGCGTAGTCTGATGTGAGGCAAAGGTCCTGTAGCTCCTTGCTAGGCAGGGATAACACCCAGCTAAAGCCCAGCCCACAGGCACAGATGCATCCTATGCTTCTGTCTGAGCAAGGACAGCATGAGGGGAGAAAAGGAGAGAGAGGGGGTTGTTAGCCTCCAGAGGAGAGCTCTTCCATTGTCTCCTCTTCCCACAGGATTTGCCAAGAAGACTTTCATCTCCTACTCGGTCACCTTTGGGGACAGCTTCCGACAAGGCAAGGTCGTGGGCATAGACCCTGGGAGACAAAAAGTCCTGCTCAGTGATGGCGAGGTGGGTGTTGCAATGACCTGGCTGCCTCATGGGATCACCTGCTAGTGCTTCAGCAGGGTGTGCTCCACCCTCCTGAAGAACTTGGCATCTTTCCCTGCATGGTCCCATCCCTTCAGAGCTTCAGCTCCCTTCAGCTGTGCTGGGACGTGGGTGTGCAGTAAATACTCAACCCCATCTCCTGCTCAGCTGAGCTTTTATTCTTAGAGCTGGATTTAGAGCTCAACAATTAAACCTGGTGCTCAGTTCCTTATTTAACTACAGGAAGAGCCAAGAGCGGCAGCATCAATCACTCTTTTCAGCCAGAGCATCTCGCTTTTGTTCAGGAGAGAAATTAGTCTCTGGAACCAGCTGTGAGTGTCCAGCATAAATATTAGGTTATTCCCTGTAAATTTAGAGTAATTTCTTTAAAGCTGTCAAGTCACCTGAATGGTGCTTAGCTCAGACCTTGAAGAACAGTTACTTGGTGTCACCTGGACCGGATCTCTTCCTAAAGCCACTTCCTGACTGTGACAAGTACTTTCCTGGTTACCAGCAAGGGATGGAGAGGAGGGAATGAGTGACCAACACCTAGGAGGCAACCACTGTGTTCTAGGCTCTGTTTTTAAGAGGTCTAATACCCCGTTCTACCTTCTGCCCTCCCAGGAGCTTCACTACTCCCATCTCATCATTGCAACAGGCAGCGATGGGCCATTCCCTGGGAAGTTCAACCAAGTCATTGACATGCAAAGTGCCATCCAGACCTATGAAGACATGGTTAAAGAGGTGAGGAATCAACTCGTAGGAAATGCTGCCTGCCTTTGTTCAGCCTCCCTGTCCCAGATACCACTGTGGCTATCTGGAGCCAGCTGAACCTAAGAGAAAGGGACACAGGGAGCAGCCAGGGGGAAACCTGAAATGCTCAGCGTTACAGGGTAGGCAGGAAGAGTGCACAGGGCACTCCTTTCTCGTTGCCTCTTCATGAGCAAAGAGGTTTATTGCTGTTGGGCCTGTGCTGCATCTCGGAGTGAATCCCAGAATGGAGTGACTGAAGGTATCTGGCTTGCTGCCCTTTGCAGTTCTCTTGTAACACAAATTTTCTCTTGAAGATTGAGAAATCTCAGCGCATCCTGGTGGTGGGAGGTGGTGCTGCTGGAGTGGAGATGGCTGCCGAGATCAAAACGGAGTACCCGGACAAGGAGGTAGGAACATCTTCATCACAGTTGACTTCATCCTGGTTTCTGAGACTGTTCCCTGATGGTGCTGCTGGAGGTACCTGAGACGATTGCACACCTGGTTGCTGAGTCCTGCACTGTGGCACGAGGTGCCCCTTCCTGGCTTGTTCTTGCAGGCATCAATTGGCTACAGCTGCTCTCACCTTGCACACAGCGAGTCCTGTTCTGTTCCTGTGTCCCCATTTGCTGTTTTGTCCCCACCAGGTCATCCTCATTCACTCCAAACCTGCACTGGCTGACGTGGAGCTGCTACCCAGCGTCCGTCAGGAGGTGAAAGAGATTCTCCTCAGGAAAGGAGTCAGGCTTCTGTTAGGTATGTCCTTAACAAAGCCTCTGAACACCTATAAAACATCTCCTGCTGTCCTCTTTCTGACTTTTTTGGTTACACGTGGCTCCCTCGAATTCCTGTTTCCCTGGGTTAGCTGGAAACCACAGCCTAGCAGAAGTTTGTTTTTCAACAGGTGAAAAGGTCAGTGACATAGGAAACCTCAGGCCAAACCAGTTCCAGAAAGACACGGTAGTAAGGACAGAGAGGGGCACCGAGGTGGTTGTTGACATGGTGGTGCTGTGCACAGGGATAAAGATTAACTCTTCTGCATATGCTGCTGCATTTGGTGAGTGAAAAAAACCAAACTATGAGGTGGGGAGGAGCAACACAGTTCTTCAGTGCCTGAGGGGTGTGAGGTGGGGAATGATGTACAACCTGTAGGGGGGATTCTACTGAAATACCAAAGAGTGATGCATTGCACAAGACTGCAGTGATTAACGACAGCAAGGCAAAAAACATCTCCTCCCTGACACATAGAAAAGAAGGTGAAAAACAACCCCTCACTTTGTGTCAATTACATCAGCAGCATTTTGGGGTCTCGGGCTACAGCAAGCCACACAAAGCTGCTTCTAAAAACCTGCTGTTTGACAAAACAGGTGACAAAATGGCAAGCAATGGTGCTTTGAAAGTAAACAAGTACCTCCAGCTGGAAGGCTATGAGAACATCTATGTCATTGGGGACTGTGCAGATCTCCAAGAGCCCAAGATGGCCTACCATGCTGGGCTCCATGGCAACGTCGTGGTGACAAATATCATCAACAGCCTGACACAGAAGCCTCTCAAAACCTACCAGCCAGGTAAGGTCAGCTCCTAACACCTGGCCTTAGGTGTTGGGCTGCTTTTCTGCAAGGTCTAACTCTCTGAACTCACTGAGTTCACTGTGAAAGAACTCACAGTTGGGGTTGTGTCAGCTTATAGCTCAGGCTTCATATTAGTTCTTGCCAAAGACACGGTGTAGATGTTAATTACCTGTGTCAGTCTACCACACCATGTGTCCTTTCTTCACTAATGTCTTGATAAATCTAGTGGTGGGAGTCTTGCTATTCATCAAACTTATTTTCTTTTCTTAAAATCGCTCACTGTCCAATGAAATCTCAGGAGTAAGATGACTTCCCTTTTCCTTCTTTCTCCCCTTAAACTACAACAAACACAAACTGAACAATCTGGTCTCAAATATCTAGCTGGTTAATGGGTCTTCTTCTTCCTGAGCACTGCTGTAAACACTTACCAGAACTATGCTGAAAGCTGTTCCACGTGGATGCAGGGATGCTTCACTTACAGCCCTACATTTTCTTTGCAGGGTCACTAACCTTCCTGCTCTCCATGGGCAGGAATGACGGTGTAGGCCAGCTGAATGGTTACTATGTGGGACGTCTCCTGGTCACCGTGGCCAAGAGCCGGGATCTGTTTGTCTCCAAGAGCTGGAAGACCATGGGACAGACAATGCCCTCCTAAAAGGGCCCCAGTAACAAACCAGAGAGGAGGACAGCAACTGGAAGAGGGTGAGGGTGCACTGCTATTGCTTGGACTGACTGATACTGTCCTCTGCAGCACCTCCTCAAGCCCCCTGTCACCCTGACACATAAAAAGGGTTGCCTGCCTTGCTGGGAAGGGGAAGGAGGCACTTCCCAAACTGCACAGAAGTTGCCATGATAAAAACCAGGGAAGAAATGTTTCTTTTACTCCCCCTGCTGAGAGAGCTCTGAGCAACAAGCTTGGTTTACCTTGATGTGTAACAATAAACACTGTGGTTTTCAGAATCTCTGTGGTTTGTTTGTTATGTGTTGGGGTTTTTGGGGGGTTTTTTTCCCCTCTGGCTTTCTCTATTCTTGCTCTTCTAAGGAGGGCCTGCTCCTTACAGATCTGGCATCTGCTCTGCAGGGAGAATGGCTCAAGTGCCTGTCTAAAACCTGGAAGGGGATATGGTAAGCCTGGAATTCAACAGAATATAATGCAGCTTTGTGTCAAAATCTCCACAGCAGCTTTAATTATGTCACCTATAGCACCAAACTTCAGCCAGAAAAACTGTTGGTTGTGCTACAGAAAGCACTTAATTACAGATGCTGCTGCTTTTTTTTTTTAATTCTCTTTTTTTTTTTTTTCTTTTTAGGGTGATAAATCCCCAGAGCAAAATGAGGGTTTATAATAATAACCACACTTGACACATCTTTTTCTTTTTTTCTTATAAAACAAACAAAATCACCATGAAATATTCTCAGTAATTACAGAGGTTATTGTGAGTTAAAAGCAAAACAGAAGCTCCTCATGCATCACTTCTAAAACCCTTTTCACCTCTCTGTGGGCTGAAGGCAGAAGTTTACCATCTACCCTCAAGGGAGGGGAAAAAGGAGCAGAACATTTTTAAGAGCTTTCTTGAAAGTGGTGTGTGGGTGTGTGTGTGTGTGTGTGTGTGAAGAAATCATCACTACAAATCTAAAATGAGGTTACTCTTTAAAAACTTCTAAACTAAAGTAACAAAGGACACTAAACTCCTGAAGCCAGATGATAACTCAATTGCTCAAGGTGATAAAAATGGCATGAAGAAATCAGACTAAACCCCTCTCATCTCTAATCACAGCTCTCCATAGAGTCACAACACGTCACACTACTACCACTCCCCCTCATCGTCACATTGAAAAAATAAAACCCACCTCTAATGCTTTTAATGCTACTCAAGTTTGTTGAAAAATAAAGTTTCATTTGGCTGCTGTTGCTACTTAGTGTCTAGCTTGGCCATTTCTTGCACGTAGATGCCAATGCTTTCACTGTCGAAGAGCAGGAAGTAAATGTTCTTCAAGGAGGAGGAGCTGGTGCCGTCGAAATGGGTGGAAATAGCTCGGAGGGTCAGCTGGGCTGCTGTCTGTTTTGGGAAGCAGTTTCTGTGTGGTTGGGGAAGAAAAGAGAGCAGGTGAGTGCTGCTGGTCCAGCCACTAAAATAGTGCCTGCTGCAGCATGGCAAACATCAAGGTTTTCATAGCAATATTCACTTGCTGCTAAATTAAGTTTCCTTGTTGGCATAGCTGCTGTTTTCATCTGCTTCTACTTCTTATCACCAAACAATTTTTTTTTTAAATTTAGAGTTAGAATTTAACTTTAGAATTAAACTTTTACATGCCATGCTGAGCAGGCTAAAAATTTCAAAGGATGATTCTTTTTTTTAGATGAAAAATGAAAGAAAACCAAACCCAAAACATCACCCACTTAGCTGACTTCCTCATTCTGTCATTAAAATATTTTGCTTGGGATTCCTGTGAAAAAAATTGAAATTGCAACTCCAAGCCAAATTAAGGTCGAGATGCATTCATTCACCCCTCTTGATGGTAATATTTTCTAACCAATAATCACATTTATATTGAAAATCATCAAAAAGATCTGGCACAACTGAAGTATTCCATCTATTGCAATGTTACTGTAAATAGTCCCTAAGATGGGACAGAGGAAAATGGAAATTCACAGAAGTGATACAGTATAATTTTTTATCTACCCACAAAACCAGCATTTCATTTGCAGATATGTAGAGTAAAATGACAGCAAAACCAGTAAATCCTATTTGAAAAACTGCCTTTTTTCAGGAAATTCTGAGTTCTTTGATATATGAAATATAAACCAGCAGCACCTGGTAAAATTCTCAATTTCAGTTAGGAAGAGTAATTGTAAGAGCAACGGAGTGAAATGGAACAAAGCAGCAGAAAGAGCTGCACTAAGACTAATGGTCCAAGAATGGATTATTCTGATTCTATGCTCTTAGAAGATGTGAAGTCTAGAAACTATTTCTATTGGCATTAAAAGCTATAGTTAATTTTTATATTAAAACTGTTAAAACAATGTATCACATTTTGCTTTGACTGAAAACCATAAACAAAAAGATCTGCATATTTTTAAGAAATGACTAAAAATTGCACTGCCTCTCTATTCTTTTTTGCTGATCCATAAAAACATATTTTGCTTTGAAGAGTATCTGTGCAAAAATGGAATTTTCACCTCCTGTGATTTCACTGATCAAATGCAGTTTTACTTCCACTTTATTCACTGTCAGGCCAACACAACAGGACTATACTATGTACTCTGCTCTTTGGGCACTACTACCAAAATCAATAGATACATTTCAAAATAAATATAAGCACATTAACACAAAATAACAACTACTGCAGTTAGCAGGGCTTGTGGAAGATTTCCTGTCATCAGAGACCAACAAACTGTTGATTTAGAAAGGAATTTGAAAGACAAAACAAAAGAAAAATATAAATACTTCCAATTTCTTAGTCAAGCACGTTCTCCTTGCTAGTTATTGAGAAAGAAATGTGTGGCTTCACACTTGGCTTAATAGGTTTTCCTTTTGAAAGCAGAACTACATTTGAGAAACAGATTTTCTTCTGAAAGAAAAGTTTTGTGTGATAAGTCTTTTAAATATCTACTATCAGGAGGGCTTAAATGAACACCCCACATCCACGTGGCTCAGGTGGCATCACTGTTACCTGCCTTCAGATCATGCTGGTATCATCTCATTAGCACTAATGCAGGTTTAATAAGACTCCCCACAACAAAATGAAGGGACACAAAACCCGAGGTGGTGCAGAGGAATGAAAATGACTGCCTAGCAATAGAAAACACAGCAAGCCCACTCAGCTCTCCTGTGGGCTGGCTAATTTCTCTTTACAAAGGCTCTCTGGCAGCTTTGTGCAAACACTGCACTTCAGGCTGCATTCCTCTGGAGCAGCTCTGTGTCAGATGGCAGCAGCACAGGCAGGGTCACAGAGCAGAGGGCACGTGTCTGTCTGTCTGTCTGTCTGTCTGTCTGTCACAGCAGCAGCTCTGACAGCCAATTCCACCTCTGCTACCTGACACAGGGGGTCCTACCTGCCACTGGGAAACGGGGGGAAAGCCACAGACTTCAACTTCTTGTCTTCTGCAGCTGTTAAGCAGTTCTTGACTGTCTCCTCGAGCTGCTCTTCACACTTGTCCGAGCCCCACTGTGGGATGTGACAGTGGATGACAAACTTTGCTGCTAGGCCGCTAGACTGAGTGAGTGCAGCTAACACAAATGAAAATATAACATTTAGTTTGGAACAGAAACCACCTCTGCAATGACCTCTCAACCCAATGTACCTTCTTAATTACATCACTTCTCCAAAGAAATACATTTGGGATTAAAATACACCACAACGGCTCGCTTGCAGTCATAACCTGTCTCATCATTCCTTTTGTGATCAATTGTTATTTCTTTGGAGACCAAAGAGCCCAGGGCTCATTTGGTTAGCTACTCAATAATGGTTTTCAGCTCTCTCATTCAGCACAGCCTCTGGGTTTGTTTTATGCAAAGTACAAAAACCTCACCTTAAACACAGTATCAGACATTTCTGCAGTGCTGTCACTGAGTGCTTTGCACAAATATCCTGCATCAGCATCATCTTTACAACTCCAGAATGTTGGGGAATAACATTTAGACCAGCTTCACAGCTGGGTAATTTCAGACAGGCCATGAAAATCAAAGTTGCATGTTGAAAGTCCCCACCAGTTATGTTCAATTAAGATTCTCAGATTAAGTTTTCAGAAAGCATAATATTTCTCCAAGACCTGCAGAGCTTACAGCATGGCATTAGTTTGCTTTTGTTGCATCACTACTGAAAGTCTGGGTGAGTTGGTAATCTCAGGTTAAACACTCTGAAATTAGCTGTGCAGGATGGAATTAGCCCAAGGATGAAAATCCTGGATTTATTCACTTGTTCTCCATCACAGAGCAATTCTGTTGCAGGCACAGAGGAATTCTGTGCTACTTAAATTTTAACCAGCTGTCTTAATAGTATAAAAGGAGTCTACCTTCTAGTCAGGTAGTGATGTTGACAGAAAAAAGTAGTTTACTTTGATTTTACGGCATATAAATTTGATTTGATATGAAAGTGAAGCAAATTATCTTGTATAAAAATTTCTCTATCATTTCAGATTATAAAACTAGGCTACTCAATTAGGAATTCTCCAAAACTAGACTATTTAAAGCATTTATTTTTTGGGGGTATAGAGATACTAAGCCAAATAAGACATATTGCAACTTTTCTCCATCTGTCTTCCAGACACATTCAATTGGTTTAATCTGTCCACAAAGGAAGCACAATCTCAGGTCCCAAACTATTCCCTGCTACAAATGTGTTAACCCCTGAAGGGAGCTTTTCTAAAAGAGAAGCTGCAGTGCCTGAGCAATTTCTCTTGCAGAAAGCATGCCAGTTCTGCAGATTGTATCACATCTTCATTTGTGCTCAAAGTAAGGTAATTATTTGGGTTATATACATCCATCAAATATGCATAAAGGAGAATAATTTATGAAGTATCAGTAATTTTTCCTGTGCCTCATATGTTAGGCTGAGGGTTGTTTCTGATTCTCACAAAGGCTGCAGTACAAACAGGGCAGGAAAGATGGCACAAGATTTCCTTAATATTTGGACTCCCACGGACAGAAATTGCCTAGGACAAATCGATCAGTCTAAAGACAGAATGTGCAGAGCACACAGGTATCCTATTGTTCCTTTTGTTCCCTCTCAGCAGGCTGCTCACAACAGCAGAGGCTTCGAGGAAACATTTGCATCACATAAGCAAACATAACAACAGGAACAGATCAGAATCTCCAGAGAAAAGAACATATTATTATAAACTGAGCCATGCCCAAAAGAGAGCAGAGCATCCTTTTTACCTTCAGCAACTTCCAAAGGCCCTTGAGATTTGCGAAGCTCTTTCACTGTTTCCAAGAATTCTTTTCCTCCAGCCTTTT